AAAAAAAAGCAACAACTTTTAATTAATGGCACTGTTAGCTTCCAGACCCAATGGTACAGGTTCTTTCTCTTAGAAAGACAAATTGTAAGTTCCTAAAAGAGCTGTTATGTTTAGATGTAAGTGGAATCCAGTTATTACCCTGGCTATTAAGAAGATAAGTCTTTGTCCTCAACAAAGAGGAAAATTTAATGTCTATATATGAATACATACAGCATTAGGATGCTATCTTTCTAGATTATAACCATCATACATTTTGGTACTATATTAAATTGTCCTTTGTTTTGTGCTAATAGTAAATGACAATGATGGTGTTTGTGTTTTAAGGGTTTTTTTTGTCAAAACTTGAAGATGGCAAAAATATGTTGCTTGCCAGAATTCTTTTAAATTTTAATAGCCTGTGAAATCCTAAAGCCTAGGAACCATTGCTTTGGAGCATTAAAAAATTATTTCTTCTGCTTTGAAGAAATATGTAACAATAGAATTTCCTACTGGAGGCAGTATAGTGTGATAAAATAATATAGAAAAGTGGTTTTTTTTTTAAGTATGGATTCTGAAGCCAGACTTAACCTGGATTCAAAAAGTACCTGTGAGGCCCGCCGAGTGGCGTGTTGGTTAAGAGTTGGCTTGGGACGCGAGCTCTGAGCGTCAGGCCCCGGTTCAGATCCCACATATGAGGGCCAGTGACACTGCCCTCTACAGCTAAGATGCTGAACAACAGCTCGACCTGGAGCTGGGCTGATGTGAGTCACGGGTGATGGCGTAGGCTGCAGTGGGGCTGGCTGGCAGCAGGCATGACCTGCCATGAGTGGCCGTGAGGGGCCATGAGCAGCCGTGAACGGCCGTCCAATGGCTGGCGAGTGACTGCCTCACCCGGGAAGACCACAATGATAATACCAACATGGGCCAGTGAAGCCACATCCTCCACAACTAGACTGAAGAACAAAAGGACAGCAACTTGTCTGTTCCCCTTCCTGGATTCCCCAATGCTGTTCCCCTCCCCCAATTCCCCAATAAAATCTTTAAAATAAAAAAAAAACCTCTGCCATTTGTTATATACAGGACCTTAGAAAAGTTAATCTCCCTGAACCTCAGTTTCCTTGTCTATGAATTAAAGATAATAATAATACCTGTTTCACAGGGTTATTGAAATAATTCATTAATCCGTGAAAAGTATTTAAAATAACACACAGTAATCACTCCATAAATGTCAGCTATTTTGTGGTGGTGGTAGTGGTTGTTACTTAAAAGACACCTTAGATGACATTCTTCTGTGCTTCAACTACATGAAGACAGAACACATGGAGAAATCAGAAACGAGACATCCCATTCTAGATGAAAATGCTAGAAGACTAGGTGATCTTTCCTGAGTACTAATCATGCAAGTGGCAGAACCAGAAGTCAAACTGAGTGCTGTCTGGCTTCAAAGCCCACATATAAAATCACTGTACTCTACTGCCTCTAGAATGAAGACAATCATACTAATGCATTGCCTTTGAATAGTAATAATGATGCTAATAATAATAATAATAATAGCCTAAACAGATGTGGCATCAAACAGTAGCTATAATAAAATGGAGGAAATCTGTAATACAGAAAACAAACTGAAAGGGTACTTAAACAATGAATTTTTATGATGTGCCAAAACTGTGGACATAGTCTGAGAAAAATCTGAATCAAAATAAGATTCAGTGACACTAGAAAAAGTACATTTATTAAATCTGGAGAAAACTGCTTGTGACTAACTTTTTATATACCTTATAGAACACAGTATATGCTAAAATATCTAGTTAAGTTCAGACGGAAGGCTGAGTGTTTTTCAGTAAAGAATAATAACAAATAGAGTAGCGTAGTAATGGGGAGCTCAGACTCTAAAAGCAGATATCTGGGTGTGAATCACTGTTCCTCCTAATAGCTACGTGACCTTGTAGATGAGGAATAAAAAACTTCTACCCCCAGATTCTGTGTCTGGAGCCCTGCAAATTAAACTGACAAGACAGATTAACGGGAGGAAAAGAAAACAGTTCATTTATGTGTGAATATGCATACAAACGGAAGACCTCAGTGATTAGTAAGTCAAAGCCTGATTAGAATTTGAGGACTATACCACCTTAATAGGTGAAGGTGAGGGGAAGAAAGGGGTTTAGGGGAAAACAAGTGAAATTGGAAAGATAAATGGGTTTCAGGAGAACAAAGAGGAGATCAGAAAGTTTGTGATAATGGTTTTCCACCTTCATATGAGTGGTCTCTTCATTTCTTTGAGGGCCTTAAACTCCCCTAAGTAAGAGACTTGGGGTAGCTTTAGTTTCGTTCTCCCTCTGGGAGATTTCCTCTGACAAGAAATTTATGGTAGCCTGTTGCTTTTAGTCAGATAAAGGAAGCTCTGAGCTTTTTATTTTTTTCTGCATCTGTTGAATCTCAAATGTCTTTAGCTTAAAATAACATTTGGACCAAAGTGGCATATTTTGGGGTGGCATATTCTGATCTCCTTCAAACTCTAGCAAATTACTTAATTTTACCAAGTTCAGTTTACTTATCTATAAAAAGGGCATAATAATGGTACCCAATTGATAAGAGTTGTGGGGATTAAATGAGATAATATAAGGAAGGCTCTTAGCACCTGGTATAGCGTAAGCTCAATAAACTCAATAAACATTAGCTATTATTTGCTGCACTTTTAACTAGAAGCATATTTGTTTGAATCAGTAACTCTCAACCTTGGCTACGTTTTTTATAAAGATCCTCCAGATAACAATAATGTTCATCCTAAATATGGAGCACCACAGGTTTAGGCCGGGGACCAAGAAAGTAGGGACTGCAGGACAAATACGGCCCAAGCCTGTTTTTTAAAATAAAGAGTTATTGAAACGGCAACACCTATTTGTTTATTTGTTTGTATTATCTGTGGCTATTTTCGCGGTACAAGGGCAGTTGAGTAGTTGTGATAAAGACCACATGATTTTCAAAGTCTAAAGGCTCTGCCCTCAAGACCTAATCACCTCCAAAGATTCTCCCCCCACCACCTCCTAACACCATCAGCTTGGTGTTAGGATTTCAACATATGAATTTGGAGGGGGACACATGCAGACCATGGAAAGACCCAAACCTTCAATGTGCCAAGACTGAGACCTCGCTGGAGCAGTGTCTGCTTATCCATGCTCATTTGCTTATATGTCATCTGTGGCCGCTTTCCCGCTACAAGGGCAGAGCTGAGTAACTGCAACAGAGGCTGTATAGCTCCCAGAGTCTAAAATACTTACTGTCTGGTCAACCTCTGATGTAGAGAAATAGGACCTCATCACTGCTGGCGGAAGCCCAAACAGACACAACCACTTTGGGACACTGCCGGTATCTACGCGAGTCTGTGCACCTGTGATGCAGCAGTTACATTCCTGGGTATATACCCAACAAAAAGACAAGCACATGTGCACCAAAAGACACGCACAACGATGTCTACAGGGGCGTTATTGGTAACAGCCACAAATCAGACCCAAGCCAAATGGAGACCATTAGAATGGGTCAATAAATTTGGTATAGTCATACAATGCAACGCTAATGGGTGATGAAAATGAACACACTATCACGACAGCATGGGAAAATCTCACAAACATAATGCAAAATAGCTCATACAAAATAATACATACTGTGTGATCCTATTTGTATAAATTCCTAAAAGAAGTCTGGGTTGTGGTTACCGCAGAAGTAGTGAATGGGAGTGCGTATACAAGCTTCGGTTCCCAGCTAAGCGGGTCCAAGGGCAGAGACCGAAGGCTGAGGAGACAGGGCTGGAGCCACCCTTTTAAATGATCTTGGACAAGTTTGGGGGCTTCCGACCAGCGGGCCGCCTGGATCACAAGTGAAAGAGCCTGGCGCTCAGCCACTGTGGTCAGGCGTCTCCCTGCTCCGGTAAGGCCAGCCCCCTACACCATCCGCCGCCATTTACGCGCTCCCCTTCCCCGCCCCACCCTTGGTCAGGCTCGCCCCTTCCATCTCCCAGCCACTTGCGGGCCTCCACCCATAAAACCCCCGCCCCTTTCGGAGCCCAAACTTGAAAGTCCCCGCCCTTTCCGGACCCGACCCTTCCGTTCCCTCGTCAGTCCCGCCCCTTTTGGGTTCCTTGTCTTGCCAGGCCCCCGCTCTTACGGTCCCCGCTTCTTCCCGACCCTCCCCTTCCGGCCCTACAACGTTGGTCAGGCCCGCCTCTTTCACCTGCCCAGCTCTTCCAGCCCTCCGGTCTTGAAAGTCCCCGCTCTCTCCGGGCCCGCCCCAAGGGGTCGCCTGTTCTTGCCAGGCCCCGCCTCTCTCGGCCCCACCCCTTAGCCCTGTCAAGCCCGGTCTTGAAAGTCCCCGCCCTTTCCTCCTCACGCGCTCATCAGGCCCACCCCTTCCGGACCCTTTTACTTTTCAGGCAGGCCCCACCCCTTACGGCACCTGCTCTTAGCCAACCCCGCCCCTTCCAACCCCTCCACGCTCTTGCCGGGCCCCGCCCTTCCACCTTCCAGGTTCTTTCGAGCCCCGCCCCTTCTGGGTCCGCCCTTTCCGGATACTCACTGGTCAGGCCCCACCCCTTCCTGGTCCGCCCTTTTCGACACCGGCTCTTTCCATGTCCCGTCCCTTCCACAACCTTTCCCCTTCCTATTCCGTCACTTTCGGGGTCCTTTATCCGGGCTCTTACCTGTTAGGACCCACTCTTTCCGGGCCCGCCCCTTCTGGCACCGGCTCTTTTCAGGTCCCGCCTTTTCCACCACCCTGCCTCTTTTGATTCCGTCACTTCCGAGCCTGCCTTTTCCGGGCTCTCATTTGTCAGGCCCCACCTTTTCCAGGCCCGCCCTTTCCGGCACCGGCTCTTTCCAGGTCCCGCCCTCCCCAACAACCTGCCTCTTCCGATTTCGTCACTTCCGGGACCGCCTATTCTGGGCTCGTATTTATCAGGACCTCCTTGCAGGCCCCGCCCCTTGCAGGCCCCTCCCTTTTCTGTGTTTCAGGCCCCGCCCCGGTCACGCCTCTCCTCCTGCCTGCCTTGTTGCGCATTGTGGGAACGTTCCGCGGGCACAGCGTTGGAGGACGCGGAGTTTTGTCATGGGGTTCCAGCCGGTGAGGCCCTCGTTCCTTGTCCTGTACCAGGGTACTCCGTTCCATCTAGTCTGGGCACTCAGCTCTGGACCGGGGGATCTCACCGCCGGCCTCGCCCTGGATGCCGGGGTCCCATCACCCTGTTTAGGAGACCTTTCTGGCCTGGGCCTGCTCCCGCGTTGGAGCTCGGGGCTGCCACCCTCAGGGCGGCTGGTCGTGGGGGACGGTCACTGCCTATCCCCGGGGCCCTTTCCCCGCGAGGCGATCACGCTGCCTCCTCTCTCTACAGAGCCCAGGCCTGCTGGCCTCGCTGGGGGTGGGGCTTCTGACTCTGCTCGGCCTGGCTGTGGGCTCCTACTTGGTTCGGAGATCCCGCCGGCCTCGGGTCACTCTCCTAGACCCCAATGAAAAGTACCTGCTGCGACTGCTAGACACGACGGTGAGTGGTGGAGAAAGAGGCGGGGTAAAGGAGGGGCCAGGGTCCCTCCCGCTGCTAAGCGCACAGCCTTCGCTGTGGTTGGAATGCCCTGGTAAAACACTCACCTATCCTTCAGACTGTGAGCCACAACACCAAGAGGTTCCGCTTTGCTCTGCCCACCGCCCACCACGTTCTGGGACTGCCTGTGGGTAAGAGAGTGTGGGGTGGCGCCTTCCCCTTCTATCCTAAGGGGGTGATTCTTCCTCTGGAGTCTCCTGAAACGCGCTGCTTTAATCTGTTTCTTCCACACCCCGTTTCCTTCCCCATCTGGCATTGAGGTGCCCCAGGGCCATTTGTAACACTCAACAGTCCTTTCTCCTTCCTGCAGGATTCGCTCATACCCCACCCCACCCCCAGCAAATGCTAACTTGCACTCATTGCCCAGACCCTCAACTCCCTTGCTGCTGCTGCCAAGGTCTGGGCAGTAACTGATAAAGGTTTCTCTAGGGGGAAACGATCCATTTGGGGGCTCAAAGGTGAATTGTCCCTGCCTGATGGCTCATTGGGACAACAGTGGGAAGCAAGACGCCCTTGTTCTCTCCAACCTCCCTGAGTTTTTTGAAAGGTGACAGGATTGCAGCACGACCACATCAGCCCTTACGTAGCTCTCTGCATGGTCTCCAGGCAAACATGTCTATCTCTCTGCCCGAATCGATGGCAGCCTGGTCATCAGGCCGTACACTCCCGTCACCAGTGATGAGGACCAAGGCTATGTGGACCTTGTCATCAAGGTAAGAGGGTAGGAAGGAGCCCCAGGGGCTCCTCAGCCTGGTCTTCCTGGGATTTGTAGAAACGCCCAAAGTTGGTTTGACAGCAGGAGATGCGTGTCCTGTGGCTGTGGAGGACATGTGTGCCCTAGCTTAGAGAGTGTCACTCAGCAGGCTCAGAAATCAGTGACAGTCCAAACACAGTACTTCCTGTTCTGTCTCTCAGGTCTACCTGAAGGGTGTGCACCCCAAATTTCCTGAGGGAGGGAAGATGTCTCAGTACCTGAACAATCTGAAGATTGGGGATGTGGTGGAATTTCGAGGGCCCAGTGGTCTGCTCACTTACATTGGGAAAGGTAACGGCCTCATTCCTTGAGCCTGGCCCCACCGCTCCAGCCCGTATGTAGTTCTCTTGGCACGGTGTAGCTGTGTGTTCGTGTCATGTCACCTGTGGAAGGGCCAGGGGTGCCCTTCCTGTACACATAGCTTTGGAGTTATAGAAAGGCTCGCTTCTCAGCCCCGTTTGCCACTTGAATTCAGCAGCCACAGGCCTGTTTACTGCCCCGGCTGAGCTGCTTGGAGAGCCGGAGGCAGCTCCCAGCCTCCCCCCGGGAACAGCGGGTGCATTAGTGAGCCTTCTCAGCTGCTCTGTGCTGCTTGGAGGGTAGATTCCCACCTGGCCCCATTCCTGTCTCTCTCACCAGGGAGTCACCCTCTGCCAGAGGCAGCTGATGACTCACTGTGTAGCCCTCACCTGACTGGTAGTTAATAACGTGGGACATGCAGTCCTGGCCCATTGTCCCTCAAGGATCATCAGGCTGCTCAGCTCAGACCTCCACCCATGCGCCAGGGTCAGATTTCATGCAGCTGCTAAGCTGGCCTGGCGTATTTTTAATTCTGCAGCTGCCATCTTAGCTTCCTTACTGATTTCGTTCTTCTGCCCCCTATTCACTTGATTTCTCAGGAAATTTTAGCATTCAGCTCGACAAGAAATCTCCAGCAGAGCCCCGAGTGGCGAAGCGCCTGGGGATGATTGCTGGTGGGACAGGTGTGTGTCACTGGGGCCACCCTCCCACCATTGCCGATGTCACCACAGAAACTTGCAAGTGGCTCTCAAAGCTTTGGCGGTCATTCCCAGCAATGCCTAGGGCTCCCCAGTACCTGAAAAAGTCATAATCAGGTAGAAACCAAATGAATTTTAACTGATAGAATGAGACACAGATCATGTGGGCTCTGCCGAGAGCTCACATCTAATAACTTTTAGGTGGGACAGAGAAGCAGCAAGAGACAGGACAATCAAGAGGAAAGAAAACTGACATTTTCATTTAGGAGACACTGTGCTGGTCCTTTATATGTGTGTGCGAAGTAGGTCCCAGTCCTCCTCTCTTACAGATGAGGAAATGCAGCTTCGCCCAGGGTGGGTGGTTTCCACAGGTGCCCCTGTAATGGACTAGTGTCCAGGTGAGCAGGTGCCAACCCACATGCAATGCACCTGCAAGCCCAGTGCTCCAGAACTGTCACGTTGAGTCTGGGCTTGTAGCACCTGTGACTTCTGAGTCCTAGCCAACAAGGGCCTGTTAGAGGACGTGTCTCAGAGGGGTTCCTTAGAAGGAGTTCAGCGTACACTTAGGTGAACGTTAAGCATGATGCCAATTTGCCCACCAGACATGAATTTTCATGAGTTTGGGGCAAAGGGCATATGTATCCAGAACTGGATGACAGCATGGGTGGGTTCCCATGGAGGGCCGGCCGGTCGGCTAAGGAGAAGGGCGGAAGCGGCTGTAACAAGTCTGTCTCTGGTCTCACGCAGGGATCACGCCAATGCTGCAGCTGGCCCGGGCCATCCTGAAGGACCCTGAAGACCCAACTCAGTGCTTTTTGCTTTTTGCAAACCAGGTTGGTTTGCTTTCCTCAGTCCTGGGTGGCTCGGGCTCAAAGATGTATCAACGGGCCTGTTCTAGCCTTGGCCCATGGGGCCCCCTGCAAGGTAGAGAATGTTCTGCAATAAGGGGACAGAGCATTGAGCCAGATTCCTCCCCTGACCCCAAGGAAAGACGGAAAGAGAACATTTCAGGAACTAGGCCTGAGCGTAGCAGCCTGCTCCTTGGGTTTCCTTAGTCAGATGTTCCTTCTTCATGCCATGTAAATGAAAGCTCTTCCCCTCCCCTTCCCATCATACTGACTCCCTGACAGTCCCGCTTATTCCCTGAGACTTCAGCATTCTTTTATGCTTCTGACTGGAAAGCGGTTACAGCAGAACTTTTTTATTGGGCCTCAGAAGTCCCTAAGGACCTCGCTCCCATTTCATTTCAGACAGAAAAGGACATAATCTTACGGGAGGACCTGGAGGAGCTGCAGGCCCAACACCCCGGTCGCTTTAAGCTCTGGTTCACTCTGGATCACCCCCCAGCAGGTACCTCCCCGCTTCCAGACACACCACAAGCAGGGCCTTGTGCTGTGTGGGTTCTCCCAAGCCTGAGTGCAGGGGCACCATGGTCCCTGGGGCCCACCCTTCCAGCTCCTGCTCATGGGTGGCGGCAGGAATGCTGTGCTGCTGAGGCAGGCTGAGTGTAGCCACCAGCTGCCGCTGCAACCTGACACCTCAGGAGCCTCCCGGGGCCCTCGCCCCCACGTGGCTCTGCACCCCTTGCCAGCATGGGTCTGGGTGTCAGTTGTCTCCTCTCCCCTGCACTTCAGGTTGGGCCTACAGCAAGGGTTTTGTTACTGCTGACATGATCCGGGAGCACCTGCCCGCTCCAGGGGACGATGTGCTGCTGCTGCTCTGTGGGCCACCCCCCATGGTGCAGCTGGCCTGCCACCCCAACTTGGACAAGCTGGGCTACTCACAAAAGATGCGCTTCACGTACTGAGCGTCCTCTAATTTCCCTGGTCCTGCTCCTGCATTGTCCCCCGTCAGTACCCATGCTATAAGCCCTAGATTTCTTCCCGACAGGATCGGCCTTTTGTCTTTCTCTGGAGAAGAAATCTGGGTGGTGCCTGCAGGAACAGCATTCCTGTAGCACTGGAGGCCACCCACCCACCCCATCCCCGCCCCAGGCCAGGCCACGGAGCAGTGTCTTCCACAGGCCATAAAGCAGTAGGTACATTCATTTCAAGACGAGCCAATTCCGTGGTAGCGTCACACTCTTTTTTTGTATCTGATGAAAGGAACAGTCTGTGTCATGAGTTTTACTTGCTTTTCGGTGCTTCACTCCTCGCAGGTTCTGTGTGCCAGCTGAGCAGACGTCTAAAGCTAGTCACAGAGATTGCAGGAAAGGGGGGGTGGTTTCTGCAGACCTCAGAGAAAGGAATCTGAAACATGTGTGTGTCTGTCTGTCTCTGCCCCTTCCCAAGCTGGAGGACAGTGGCTCTCCACAGGCTAAGACTGCTGCTCGTGGCAGGAACCCCTGCTAATAAATGGGGCAAAAGCCCCAGTGTTTACCTAAAGGGCCGTTGTGTCTGGGTTCCTTGTTTCCAAGTTTTTCACACCCGAGAATTTGGGAGGAAAACTTTCTTACCACACAGTGTATACGAGATCTTACAGGGAACCTTTGAGCAGTTGTACCATGTGCTGAAATGAGACCTGCCACCAAACTCAGTAACCATCTTAGCAGCTGTCTCAGCAGAACCAGGAGCTCAGCCTCTCCTTGGAGGCTTTTTAAGGTGAGGAAAGAGAGTACAAGTTGGAAGCAATGCTTCCTGAGCTCAGGTACCCCTCACAGTGGTCCTTTGGTTTGGCCAGTGGTTTCCTTCTTCCTTCACCACCATATTTACCCTTCGGGGTACCTTGCAAACAAAGTACAGTAAAACCTTGGATTGCGAGTAACATGGTGAGTGTTCTGCAAGACGAGCAAACATTTCTAATACATTTTTACGTGGTAAACAAGCGATGTTGTCCAATATGAGTAGTTTGTTTCCAGAACGAATTATGTCGCAAACCAAGGTATTACTGTTTTAGAAGAGAAGCCTTCTCTAAGAAATAACCTGACACCACCAGCCCTGGGCAGAGTTGACTGCCCCACACCCATCCCTCCTGACTGCACTTCCGTCTGCTGTGACAGCATGACCCAGTCCACTCCCTTCTCCCACGGCCTGACAGGACAGCTTCAGATCTTGTTAGTCCCACTGGGACAGTCCCATCAATCTCAGGAGAAAGGTCACCATTATTTTTCTGCATGGAACTATGTATTGCTTTCAGTGGGATCCCTGAAGAAAGGCTGGGGTACCTGAGAATTCACCCCTCCACAGGGCAGAGTATCAGTAAATTCTGTTGGTCATATTCCAGCAAACATTTCTTGATGAGCTGGTATGTGTATGCTGTGTGTGCAGCGGGAGACACTTGACCACCTCACCTCCCAAAAGGACAGTCTTGCTTAGGATTGTTGGGCTCCGACAGGCAAGCAGCACAGCAAAGAGAACTTCTCACCCAGAAGCTCACCATGTCTTATTTTGCACCGGTGTCTGCCTCTTCCACTCAATCTGCAAATATTCATTAAGGACCTGCCTGGTGCGGAGCACCGAGCTCAGCCTGGGCATCCGATCGTGACCCAGACTGGTCTCAGACCCCGAAGAACTCATAGTGCACAGTAAGATAGACCAGTGGGAAATGATGACAACATGTGATTGATACTGTGGTGGAGACACAGGTGTGGATGGGGGAGGGGCAGCAGGATGAGTCAAGGATGCTGAATCAGCAGCTATGGATCGGGCACTGCTAAGTACTCGCCACGTAATTTAATCCTTCCGTCATCCTGTAAATCTAAAATGAGGATTTGCCAAAGGTCACACAGCTGGTCCCGCTGGAGAGAACTGAACTCTGTCTGCTCCATGGACAATGACGACACATGTTTATGAAGCATTCGCATGGCACTATACTAAGCCTGCATAAATTCTCACCTGGTCCGGACAGACCCTGTGAAGTAGCACCGCTTTATCTCCAGTTGTCGAGTGAGGTAATTACCATTTGGAGGGTCCGTAACGTGCTGAAGGTCACAGGCTAGCCAGAGACGGAAACCTGGGAGCGCGGACTCCAGAGCACATAGAGAATTAATCCCCGCCCTAGGCACCCATCTACAGTTATAGTCAGTTTGCTCTCCGCAGGTACCACTAGTTCTGCACCATCCTTCGGAGGACGGAGGAAATGGTCCCTCAAATCATCTGTGTTGCGTGGTTCAGAGGGGTGAGGCACCACCCTGGCGTCTCCCATCTGGGGCCACCACCCTGGCCGCAGTGCGGCAGCACGAGCTGGAGCCGGGAGTTCTCGGGAGACGAGCTGGACACGATTCCTCTGAGGAAATAACAGCCAAACTGAAGTCTGGCCCAGTGTCTTGCAAAGGACAGGCGCTCAGGGAGGGACAGCGAGGTTGAAGAAGAGGGATTAAGCAGATCAGACGCCCGGCTTTGGTCACCGATGAGATGCAGGGAATGCCCCAGCGTGGAGGGCAGGTGCGTGGGAGGAGATCCGGCATTCTTTCGCGGGGTTCGGTCTAATTTCCTGAAATTCCTTCCCCACGCACTCTTGTGTGCGACTGGGGGTGTGGTCTCGCGACCCGAGGCTCACGATTGGAGCAGGGCGAGGGGGCGTGGTCTGCGGGAAGAAGGCCGGGCGGGAGGGGGAGCGAGCTCCGGGAGCGGGGTCGCCGCGCGGAGGTGACGTCGTGTGTTGCGCGCCGCTTCCGGCGCGGAGAGCGTAGAGATCGGGGCCGCTCGGCCGAAGGCCACCTCCAGCACCGCGAGATGTAGCGCGGGGTCCGCCGCCCGCAGTTGAGCCCGCCTCCCGGCCGTAAGTTTCCGGGGCTGCAGCAGCGAGCGAGTGGGCGGGGACCGGTGGGGCGCGGGGACCCCGGGCGCCCCGGCCCGGGACTGCGGCGGGGACGTCCCGAGGGTCCCGAGACCCCTGGAGCCATCCAGGCCTCTCGGCTACTCTGTGGTTCGGGTTGTAAACATTTCCGGCCCCTCCCACTGCGCGCCGCCTCCGAGGCGCCCTCAAAAGCCACTTCAGGGCGTGTAGGCTGCCGGTCCCCCAGCTTTCCCCAACGGCAGCAGTCCTGGTAGTGCTGTCCTCCCAGCCCCGCCGGGGGGTGAGACGTCTGGATTCAGGCTCTGGCTCGGGACGGGCCAGGCCAGGCCAGAGCTAAGTCTGGTCCCCCGGCTGCCGCACAAGGCGAGTGGGGAGTGGGGGGCGGGGGGGGTGCAGACCTCGGTCGCAGGACCGTCTCTCCCAGCTGGGAACACCTGCATTTGGTGGCTTGGGGCCCCTAGGTTCCTCCACCAGCCGTCTTAGGCAGATCAGACCATGACAACGACCCCATCGTGACGTTGGAGAAGGGGAGGTTTGTGGACAATCGATTTTATCTAATGTTAGCAAACTCTAAACAGCTTTGGGAGAAAACGAAATTTCGTTCCCTCGTAAATCTGGCATTAATGTATATACCATCTTAGATTTGGGATTTTTGGTCTTCACGCATTTGATTTTTATGAAAATAAGAGAGATAATATGCTTTCCCGCAGTTCCTCATTCTCATAGGCGGCGTTGGGAAACTTGAGGCGCGTTTCCGTTTACACAGACTCCGTGTCAGAAGCAGTAGGAGGTCTACATAGCACTTACTAGATGAACCATTTCCCCAAGGTATCAAGAAGACAGACCAGAAAACACAGCAAGGATTTAAATCAAGTGACCACTCTAGCGGCCAGTTCTTTTCTGAAATGTAGTAATGGGTCTGTTCTTGCTTTTCTCTCTCGTTGGGGTTGGATCACCTGTTTTGCTACAACTTCTGTTCCTGGTGTTTTACCGCATTTGCACAATACTTTGGACTTAGGCTGCATGCTGTTAAACAGATTGCAGTATCAGGGTAGCAGTTCCGAGCTCGCAGCCACTAGATTTCATTATTCCAGGAGTGATTTCTGTTCCCATGTAGTGGTTGGTACCTACAGAACTAGTCTTGGCTGCAGATGTGCTACCTGTGAAGGTCCATTTTGGATAGACTGCCGCAAAGCTATACGTGCTTGCAGGGTAGAGTCTGATAGAGTTTTGTTCTCAGCAGGCAAGAAATGATACGTGATTCCCAAGGGATTAAAAAAAAAAGAAAAATTAACCAACTCCTTGCCTGCCAATAGGAAAGAATCTCAGGCAAGAATCAGGAAGCCGCATTAATCCACAAGGCTCCTGCTGCTGGTGGATAAAGTACACCATCACGTAGGCTTTTAGGCTGTTCTCAGTTTCTGCAGTCTGGCCTCCTTTTACCTTTCCAAGACGCCCTGATGGAAAAGTGGATTCTTCACTGCCGTGGGGGCTAAGTTCTTTCAAGGCTGCCTTGCTTCCTACCGGGGTGCCCTCCTGGAATGCCCTGCTCCCATTCTTTGCCTGTCAAGGTCCTTTCTCATGTCTTCCACAGAACCTTTCCTGATCATTCCAGGAAAAACAGCTTTTCTGCTGAATCCCCCCAGCACTTAATTGTGTTTGCCTTGTAGTGATGTTAGTAGAAAACAAATTATTGCCCCTCTTAAAATAGAGGCTGGCGACCCTGTGGAGCCTTGGAATCCTTTCTCTGCCTTGTTTTGGTAACTGCAGTGCTGTGCATTTGTTAGTAAGCAACAGGCCTTCTCAGGTGGAGAAAAGAACCTGCACTTCCTTCTAGGCGAGGAAGTTCTCTGTCTTCTGGGACATTTCCCAAGGTCTCTGTTTCCCTATAATTATAGCCAAACCTAAACTCTTTAACATTCTTGATACATCGTTTTGTCCCATCACTTGTGATCACACTGGAGAACTAAACAGTCATCTTTAAATCCAGAAGCTTTAGTAATTATGGTGGGTTTTTCTGGAGCTGGTACTCATCAAAGTCATTACATTTTGTTCTTAGTGCCCATTTGTCCGTCCCTAATGTCACCCCTGGACTTCGTTCCTCTCACTATACTCAGTGGACTCCCTGTTGCTGCCCGGAGTGTTGGGGGCGTGGTTATTGTTTATGATGTTTGTAGCTATCTTGGATTGAAAGGTCCTGAAAGTGCCCTCTAGCCAAACCAGTTCCAAGTGATTGGCCTCTAGGCATACACCTAGTTGGCTTTCGTTTCATTGGGGCTTCTGGACACACAGTGTGAAGTTGTTACTGTGTTGTGTAATTTCTGACAACAAATCCATCACATACTAGACAGCAGGTACTAAAAACGGGGTGCATGGAGCGCCTTCATCTCCTGTATACTGTTGGCATTTGTTGTTGTTGTTGTTGTTGTTGTTGTTATGGCATTTGAACAGTTTATCGATCTGTTTGGGGTCAAAAAGACCTCTTTTGCTGGGAGAGCTTTAACTGGAGAAAAGCTGGAAAGAAAGTTAGATTGAGATTTTCCACTTTGGACTCCCAAGTCAGTGACTCTGTGCATCAAGCAGGAAAGCTGAGGCCCCGTCGCTGTTGGGTAATTTTCACACATGGGCCTTTGTCCTGACTCATGGTCCCCAACAGCGCTCTGAGCCACCTGCCTGACAGAGAACGTAGAGGAGAAGATGGCTGTGTTCTTGTGCTTACTTGCCGTGATGGCAGTCGGGTGGGCACACATAGAGTCTACCCATGGCATCTCTATGGGTCCAATGACCCCAAATTAGAAACTTCCAGGAACTTTGTGCCTTTGACCCCAGGGAAGGAGTTTGCCTTGGACAGGAAAACGTGGGAACTGCTTCACGGAATAAATGTCTCAGAAAACTGCAAGGGAAATAAACCCTCCAGCTAACTGGCTAGTGACTGAGATTCAGTCCCTCCCAAGGTTGGCACAGGGCTTTCTCACTCACAGGAGCACAAACGCCTCCCTGCCCCCACAGCTCTGTTCGCTAATGTCACAGCTTCATCCAGTTGGAAAGCTTAGTGGTTAAGACTTATTCGCTGGAATTTAAGAAATCCCATCAAAAATGCCCTCCGTGGAGTCTGACCCAATTATACTTTGCTGTGTTGGGTGTGGTGACTTTGAGGGGAAATGTGTTTGCTCTGAAATACATTGGCTGCAGGAGGCTGATAGAAAGTTGAAGTTTATTTGGCCGTCCTGAATGCTTTCAGAGTCAGTGTTAACACCGTAGGGGTTTATGCTGATTATTTAAAGACTAGAGACTAAACTGCTTGGAATAACCCCCAGTTGTCTGTGGGCAGTCCTTGGTCAGAGGTTATATTTTCATTCAGGTCCTCGTATTATTACTTGCTCTTCTTTCTTGCCAGACCTCCGATCCCTGTCTTCCTCTCCTGTTTGTGTTGCTACAGTTTAGAAGACCAGAGTGGACAGTGGGCTTTGCTCACGTGCTGACCTCATTGTACGGACTTCAGTGCATGATGACATGCGGTGATGAGTCATAGCTGATGGCTGGTTTGTGAGTTAACTGGGGTGTTAGGGTTAGTGATTCTGGGTCTAGGAAACAGTGCTGAGGGGAGGTGTGGGAGCCGGTGATGGAGCAGCTGGAGGGAGTGAGAACGAGCAGAAAGTGAAAAGCACCGAGAGGGAAAGGTTGGGGTGACGGCCAGGAGACCAAGGTCAGGCTAAGGGGTGCTGGAGCTTTCAGGTCAAGGGAGGGAGTTATAAGAATACCAAGCTGAGTTCTGCATCAGGTCTCTGACCCGAATGTCCAACTTAAAGTTTGTCTGTATTATTCTCGTAGTTACACAGCGTTCAGAATAGCTGAACTTAGCTTGTGGTCATTCTGCTTTAGGGGTCCTCTCCCTCCACGGCCCTCCTGGAGCAGCGACCTTGGACATTCCCCAAGTTACCTGTGCCATCTGACTGTAGGCTCTTTGAAGACAGTGATTTAACTTGTTCAGTTTTGTATTTTGCACAGTACCTTAGACTGCCTTAGGGTGCTACTGCTAAATGCACTTGTTAAATACTCTGAGCATGTTGGGTTACTCTGGGGAAAGGGATGGGAGGAAGCCCCACTGCAGAAGAAAGAGCGTGTGCCCTTAGCCAGTGATAAGAAGTTAAGAAGTCATGTGCTTGCTGGCTGGAGTGCTGCGTCATTCATTTATTTTTGGTTCGTTCATTCATTCATTCATTCATTCATTCATTCATTTTGAAATGTGGGTTCCAGCCCAAATCAGGGATATGTGTCAGTTTGTTATCTGTGTAGTGTTGTATCCGAGAACCTAAGAACAATGTTTTGGGCTGCCTCTGAAGTGCTGGCAGCAGTATATCCTCCTTCTGAGACTTCCTTCTCCAAGTGCCCAAAGCCACTCATACAGACAGTTTCCTAGGAAAGCTGTTGAGTCGGTGTACTGCACCTGGAGGAAGTGTATTTTGTGGTCAGCCTACTGGAAAAGCCTTCCCAGTGTTCCTTCTCTCGTGGGTTACCTGTTCCCTGAGGTTTTCAGGGGCCCCAGTTTCCTGTTCTCCATGAGCTTGGTTGTTGGTTGTGACGGTGGGCTGGCATCTGACATGCAGACTCTTGCACATGTGAAGGAAGAGGAACTTAGCGTTGACACCATGTGAAGGTCTGTCCCACAGTGAGTTAATGTTTGCTCTCTGGAGCTAGATTTGCCTGTTGTTTCAGCCGTGCTTTGAGTTGAGCATGGCATGACTGTTCTGAAACTTGAGAACTGCCCTCACCTAACTACCCAGTTATAATCCCCGAGAAGGAATTGTGACTACTCATGGATGCAGAAAGAACTGGTACAAGACGTCAAAGACATTGGTATAGTGAGCAGCCGTGGGAGGTAGGTACAGTCTCTCCCTCAGGATCAGAGTCATGCTTACTGCCCGTTATAAAAGATGCGGGCTCCCTAAGCTTAAGTTTCCACTCTTCTAAAGCGGCTCACTCCGTGGGCAGGTGTTACCTGGCAACCAGTGCAAGACAATGCTATCATTCTGGGTACTCCTATTGCTGTGGATAATGAAAATCCTTAGTATCTTGGAAGAAAAATCTAGTAATTTACAAGATAGTGGAAGTCTTTGGGCACTTTTTCCATCTTTTCAATATATTTTCATCTCTCTGAAGCCAGATTAAAGACTAGTCCCTGGAATGCAACTCAGGAAAGCCTGAAGTTTTTGAGACTTCTCCTAGAAAACTGTACTGGGTTGCTCTGGTTTTCATAAAGGATCTCCAGTTTCTGAAAAACCAATCTGAGTGGGGCCTAGGTTATGATCTGTGATAGCTGGGGCAAGGCTGCCTCCTTGTCTTCAGCTTCCTGCTTTCAGGTAAGTTATTGGATAATTTAAGGAGAGATTGTGATGAAAGCTTGCTGTCCAGGTGTTGAACCCAGGCTGTAATCCTACAATAGAATTAACAGATTATGCAGAGAAATTAACCACCAGCACATAGCCCACAACAAGCTCCTTTTGCACACGCTGTCCAAGCACTGACAGGGTTGAAACCCAACTGAGTGTAGTTGGCATTTAATTTCTTCTAAGCCTGGGAGGTCTCGTAGAAATTACAGCCAGGCATCAACTTCATATTTTTGCTCCACGATCTCAAAACCAGACCTTTCTTAGGCAGCATAGCTTTGGATGATAGGCTGTTTCTTCTCACTAAATGGGCTCCATGCCTGTGGGAGGGCGTTCAGGATGGGTAGCTGTTTTTCTGTGGTGACAGTTTGGTACAGAAACCACAGATGCTTTTAAGGCAAGCAACCAGATGTTATATTCTCAGCCTTGTCTGTAACATTAGTGAGGTTCTGAGTAAAGGGTGACATTAAAGAGGGAGAAGAAGGAATAGATTTCATTTTAGCGATTAATTGGCCTTTAGATTTGGAGACAGGGTGTGAGTTGATTAACTAGTGTCTTATTCAGTCTTGACTTGTGGAAATGAAACTATAAGAGGAATAAATTGTCAGCACCCGTCATGTTTGTGTTTGTTTTTAGTGTCTGCCATCACAGGGAGATCTCTGCCCCCCCGGGGCTGGGACCCCAGCCTTCCCCCAGGCTGAAGCTACAGGCTAGTGAGGTGCCAGCCAGATGTCTTCTCACAAAGGGTCTGCGGTGGCACAGGGCAGCGGGGCTCCTGCCAGTAACAGGGAAACGGACACGGTGGAGCTGGCAGAGCTGGGACCCCTGCTGGAGGAGAAGGGCAAACGGGTAATCGCCACCCCAACCAAAGTAAGTTGTCTTCCCAGGAGTCATTTCCTGGTGAGAGTCTCTCCTTACACCTCTTTTCGTCTCCATCTTTTAAGACCCAACTCCCCCCTTTGAAAAGCGAAACCCCAGCACCCAGGAATGTCTCGGTCTCAGTCCTAATCATGCTGTATTACAAGTTTGTTTGTTTGTTTGTTTTTCCCACTGTCGGCTTTTACAAGTTCACTCATCCTTAAAATCGTGCCTAAATCCAGTAAGTTCTCAGAAAATGTCTCAGAGTGAATGTAGAAAACCATTAGGATTGGCTTTGGCTTCATATAACAAAAATTGCTGTAGCTTTGACAGGACAGAAGTCTCTCTCCAATAAAGGAATTCTAGAAGGAAGCAAATCCAAGTCCAATGCGCTGGCCCACTAGTCAGGCCCCTGTTGCTCCTCTTCCGTTCCTCATTGTTACGGTCACACCCACATCCTGACGCCACAGAGGAGGGAGAGGAAAGGAGCAGAAGGCCCACCCTTTCTGGAAGGACACACTGGTCTTTATGCCCCTCAGGCCAGTACGTACTTACCGTATTTCCCCGTGTATAAGACGCACCTTTTTTCGAAAAATTTGGGGTCTAAAAACTGGGTGCATCTTATACAGTGGTTATAGATTTCAAATGCCATAGATGGAACTGAGGACAAGGCAATATATGAAGACAGTGATTCGTCATCAGACACAGATGAGGACAAGCTAATGGTTGGGAGCTTTGACAGTGATGAGTTGTATGAATTTTATGATGAATAAAACTTGAGCTCAATAACTTTACGTAATACTTTTTTTTCCCAAATTTCGGGCCCCAGAATTAAGGTGCGTCTTATACGTGGACGTGTCTTATACATGGAGAAATACAGTAAGTTGTTAACCTTCAGCTGCGGTGGCTGTGAGGCACTGCAGTCTTCATCGTCGGGCCTGAGCAGTGACAGTAACATTGTCACCCTGAGTAAAACCAAGGACTCTGTTACTGAGAACAAGAGAGAATATTGGGGTAGACCAGCAGGAATCTGTATGTCAAAATCTGAGACCATTTGTTTACCAGGGACCATCAGCAGGCGGGGGGAGCCTAGAACTGGGAGAGGCCAGAGCGACAGGCCCTTCATCCCCATGTTTGCAGTCTTGGCACAGAGGAGAAGTCTCTCCTGATTAGGCCTCTGCTCTCCCGTGTGCACAATTTGTGTCAGGGATCCTTTGGGTGCAGCAGGCAGCTGCTGCTCCGTGGCACCAGCTTGGAGGCTCTGGCCCTCGTGGAGCTGCTGTGGTTGCGGTTTCAGTCACCGCAGCCTTCCCAGAGTCACTGAGCAGGGAGCTGCAACTCTGGCTTTCTCAGTGTGTTGAGAATTTAGTGGTCTGGCAGAGAGAAGTATTTGTGAAGTAGGGGAGGTTGAGAACCACTGTCCTAGAGATTAGGATGGGCCATTCAGACTTAAAGAACACTTAGGACTGGCGTGCTGGTCCTGAGTCCCTCTGGTGCCGGTCCCCACCAGCCTTCTCCTGTGTACTGAGCTGAGCTGTCCCGCCAGAATTCATCCTGAACTGGTGGCATAAGCTCAACTATCATGCTTTTGGAGAAGGGGCCCCAAGGCCCTGTGTCTAGGAGAGAGGCTGGCCACCAAGTGTGGAGTTGGGTTTGTCTGGATGCCCCTGATCTGGAGTAGTTTGGTTTATGGGCTGACTCCTAGGATTCATTTCCGTTGTTGTTTTTTCCCTACAGGCTGAAGAAGAGCAAGCATGCCCAGTGCCCCCAGAAGAAGAGGAGGAGGAGGTGCGGGTCCTGACACTCCCTCTGCAAGCCCACCACGCCATGGAGAAGATGGAGGAGTTTGTGTACAAGGTGCAGCCTCCCAGCTTCTGTCCTGGAAGGGGCGGGGCTGCGGGCTTGCTGGGCGTTCCCAGCTGGCAGGCGTGCGCTGGGTTGAAGAGCCTTTACTCCTGTGGATTTGTTTTTGCTTAAGGTGAAGTAAATCCAGGGAAAGGCTAGCTAAATTTCTACTGCCTGATGTGTTGAGCATTGTTCAAAATATATTCTAAACCAGGATTTCTTAAGTTTTTTAGGTATGGATACCTTTGGCAGTCATCAAAATATTACAATGTGAAATAGTAACATGGGCTTCTTTATTAGTACATAAATGTGTTAATGATAAACAATGACATTTTATTAAAATTTATAAGTTCTAAGTAGTGATGAATAGAAATAGTATTTTGATATCTGCAAAACTAATGTGTGAAAATACCTATGCTTTCTGTTGGTGACATAGTCACAAGTTCTAATACTGCTGTGGCTTGTTCATATTTATAATTGAGGGAAATGTTAAATTTTAGTTAAAGGTGAGTGAAAATGTGTTGTGTCCCACGCAGCATGGGCAGTGGGGAGTCAGAGGGGCGGCAAAGGGTTAAAGAAACACGAGACAAAGATAGAGTTAAGGCGAGGCCAGGGGACTATAGTTTTTTTTCTGGAACTGAGTCCCAAATTGAGCCAACGTGTAGTTTTTATTAAGAAACTTTAAAGGAGTGAAACTTTTTTTGTTTTTTTTTTTAATCTGTGTGATAAGTGTTTTATGGCTAATTATCATCAACCAGCCCCTTAGTATTTTAACACGTTTTGTCTTTATATTTTAACACACACAACCCCCAGGATGGTGTAGCTGTTGCTGTGACCATGAAGTAAGGGAGATAACCGACATTATTTTATCGGGTCCTAGCGTTTCGGGACACTGTTTTGAGGAAGTTTTACCAATCCCATTTTATCGGGTCTTACTTTTTTGAGAAACTTTTTTTGTGACCTTGTTAGGTCAGGGGTTGGTGTGACGGGGCAGTGGAGGACGAAGCTGTAAGGCAACAAAAGTGAAGATAATTTATTTCCTTCCAAATTTCCATCTACTCCTTGAACTCTGTCCACTGTCTATGTGTCCTAGGTCACGAGCCCTGCTCTAAAAAGACAGTCTCAACCTATTAAGGATCTAGACTCTGATGAGGAGAAGGATAGAGCAGAGGACAGCCAGACTCACCTGGAGGAGAGTGGCAAAGGAGGGCAAAAATGTACCATTTAAAAAAGCCATGTGTATAATTTCTAGTTCTTCATTTTCATTCACTTAAGTTTGAAATTTCAAGTAGCTAAAAGGAGGTCATGCCATATTTCCTTTAAAGATTGAGACACACTTATCTAAAGCACATCCACATAAACTGACGACTTCAGCGCAGAGGCATCGGGTCAGTAGCAGGAGAGCCTTGCTCATGCTCTTGGATAGCTGCAGGTCCAGACTGGTCCCCCCGCCCCGACCTAGGCCCATCCAGAGCCTGCCTGAATCCTCCTAGACGGGCTCTGTCCCCACCTTGTCTTTAGGGCCCTGCTCCAAGAGATCCTTGAACAGCACGGCGTTAGGAACGCCAACCCCTGCACAGCTGGAATTCCATGTACAACTGTGACACCGCCCTCCCCAAACTGCAGTTATCCCTCAGTATCTGCAGAGGATTGGTTCCAGGAAGGCCCCCCCCACACACACCCCCCCCCCCAATACCAAAGTCCGCGTGTGCTCATGTCGCTTACGTGAAGTGGCAGGAGTTAGTGCGGTCAGCCTCCGCATCCATGGTTGGTGAAACCTGGGGATACAGAGGGCCGGCTGTGTTTGTACAAAAGGACCTGCGTGGTTCCAGCCATGTTCACGGATCACCCGCACCCTAGGTGTGGGAGGGCCGCTGGAGGGTCATCCCGTACGACGTGCTCCCGGACTGGCTGAAAGACAACGACTACCTGCTGCATGGCCACCGGCCGCCCATGCCCTCCTTCCGTGCTTGCTTCAAGAGTATCTTTCGCATCCACACAGAGACGGGCAACATCTGGACCCATCTGCTTGGTGAGCAGTTGAGCAGGAAGGGCAGTCCCATCTGTCCTCTTAAGCGCCAGTGGACTGTGTGGCCTTTGTCCCTGGGGGGAAGCACAGGGTTGTCTGATTGCTTGATCGAGGGCTGGCGTTGTGCCAGCCTTAAGCTGCCACTGAGCTCGTTGACTTGATCACTGATCTTTAAGCCGCAGGGCGGGGGGGGCTAACAACGAGAGAGTAGGTTGGGGCCGCGTGTTTTCTGCTGCCTGCAAGGGCGGTCCTTGACAGGGCAATTCCTCTGTTTTATAATTCCCACCACAAAATGCCAGCGTTTTTGAAAACCGGTCCTTTTGTCTGGATTTATATGAGCAGTGCCCTTTTCTGCGGAAATTCAGACTGTAGTCCCGTGGCAGAGCCTATGGTTTTGTCCCGCTGTAGTGCCCTTGGCTGTCACAATGTTCACATTTGCCTCTCCTCTTCTCCCTCAGGTTTCGTGCTGTTCCTTTTTTTGGGAATCTTGACCATGCTCAGGCCAAATATGTACTTCATGGCCCCCCTGCAGGAGAAAGTGGTTTTTGGGATGTTCTTTCTAGGTGCAGTGCTCTGCCTCAGCTTCTCCTGGCTCTTTCACACCGTCTACTGTCATTCAGAGAAAGTCTCTCGGACTTTTTCCAAGTGAGTTGAAAGAACATCGGTAGGGACAGACAGTGCACTGGTGTCACAGCTGTGATCTGAGCGCTGACACACTGGGACCTCCAGGGACCCCTAAAGACGCCCACAGGCCCAGCAGAAGACCGGCTATCTTGTGGGCGGGATGAGCGATGCAGCTTTGCTCTTAACTCCTTCACGCCTAAATTCACGGCAGCCTCCTTCACAGAAGAGGCCATCTGTGGGTACACTTCCAACCTGCACAGTGCCGCCCATCATGAAGCGTGGAGGGCAGCAGTACTCGTCCTTCTAGTTGGCCCCGGGCAGAGCAGGGGTGGGGGTGGTGAGGGGGGTTGCGGCGCTCCTGCCACTGTGGAGTGGAGCTTATCTTGGCTGCCCACACGTCGCTGTATGGCTAAGATGTCCATCATCTGAGCTTCCCAAAGTCCCCAACACGGAGCCTGCAGTCTTACTTGTTTGCTTGTCCTTGTTATGCTGGGGCTTTGGTGATGGTGGTGGGTTATTCTGTTTTTCCCAACACTGGTAACGTGGATCTATTTTAATGATTTAAAAAGTCAGTTAAAACAGAACAGTACCCCTTAATGCTACTCCCAATTTAAGGGATTTATTTTTAGAGCTCAGCCTGTCAGAGCCCTTCCTGAATGTGAAGCAGGGAACCTTCTGGATTTAAGTACCCACCAGGGGGATGTGGCTGTTCACAGCTAAGGCACAGAGACAGGTCTGTGATCGGGGACTTTTAGGGACTTTTCCACTGCAGAATCGAAGAGCTTGACCTTGTGGAATTTTGAGCCAGGACATAGAATAGGTCATATGGGAGGTGATGGGTGACTGGGGACGGTCAAATCTGGGAGCTGGTGAAGAACAGAAAGAACCAGGTAGATGAGCCATAGGAATTCTTCATTTCTCCACTGATGTGTTTCATTTTTGTGCTTTTTTTAGACTGGATTATTCAGGGATTGCTCTGCTGATTATGGGGAGCTTCGTCCCCTGGCTCTACTACTCCTTCTACTGCTCCCCACAGCCACGGCTCATCTACCTCTCCGTCGTCTGTGTCCTGGGCATCTCTGCCATCATCGTGGCCCAGTGGGACAGGTTTGCCACTCCCAAACACCGGCAGACAAGAGCAGGTGGGTATAAAGACCCGCCGAGGTGTTCAGACCTTGAGCCCAACAGGCTCAGCCCTGGGCCCTAAGTCATGAAGTTTGGGGACCCCAGCCTAACCCTGGGTTATGTTTAGCACTTGCAGAACAGCATGGATTTTCAAAGCTCTATTCCGCCAAGTTTCATAGTGTTTCAGTAGAATGCTAATAGGATGTTTAATTACCACTCTGGCCAGTTAACTGTAAGTGTAGAAATGACTGCTCTTATGTTTGGTTTGAGAAAGTTAAAACTGACAAAGCACAGTTGTTGTAGAGATCTGAGTCCTAAGCACTCAAAGCAAAAGATTAAAATTAAAACAGCTCAAGTCGTTCTACTGAGGAGTGGAAGGTTGGTTTGGTGAAGAACAGACCTTTAGCATAAACACTGGTAACAACTGTTGTAACAACGGCATGCCCAGACTATGTGCTATTTCACCTCGACTCTTTCTTTTACTCAGATCCTCCTGGAAGTTAACGGCGGTATTACAGATGTCAGTAGGGCATCAGAGTGGTGTACAGGCCACGCTCAGAAGCAGGGTGTTCGCAGCAGTCTGGCAGAGAGCCCACACCACAGGACTGTCACAGACCTTAACAAATGTTGCCTAGACTTTATTTTAAGCTTTATTGCCTGCTGCATCACACCGGTTACTTCTTTAGACTTCTTAATTCTGGTGTGTTTTAATCTTTGCTTAAAAGAATAAATTATTGGGCCGGCCGAGTGACTCAGTTGGTTAAGAGCTCGCTCAAAAGTTTGAGCTCTGAGCAACAGCGGTTCAAGTCCTGGCCCGAGCTGAGCAGCCGCTGAGCTACCAACGGGTGGCAGGATGGCTCAGCTAAAAAAAAAAAAAGAGAGAGAGAGAGGGGAAAAAAAGCGAATAAATTATTCATCAAGCACTGAGCATGTGCCAGGTATTGTGCTCTGCGCAAATGGAGGAGGGAGTCCTGCCTCCTGTCGTGTAGTGTAGTGGTGTCGACACTCGTGCCCATCTTCCCTTGTTGGTGTGTCCCAACAGCCACACACAGCTTCTAATCGGGGTACCTCCACCTACTCGGGCTCAGAGGCTTGATGACTTTAATGGGAAAACCGTCCTGCTCTCTGGCCACTGGAAGCCTGGCCCTCGAGCTTCTGTACCCAAGCCAGCCATCAGAGAGTTATGACAGCCCATTTTGCCTAGACTTCTTACCAAATGGTAAAGAGTGTGAGATGTTTGTTCTTGGTCCTTAAAAGGCAGTAGTTGTATAGGCACTTACACAGCCTATTTCTCATTCTGGATGTCCAAGAAATAGCCACTGACTTCTCCATCTTGTGGCCAAACGTCCGAAGCAGGCACTGGTCACCAGAGAACAGCCCCAAGTACCATGGACGCGCACCTGCAGAGGCACCAGTGCCTTCGTGGTGCGGCTGCCTCCTGCTGACGGCCGCTGTCTGTCTGTCTGTCTGTCTGTGCAGGAGTGTTCCTGGGCCTGGGCTTGAGCGGCGTGGTGCCCACCATGCACTTCACTATCGCCGAGGGCTTTGTCAAGGCCACCACGGTGGGCCAGATGGGCTGGTTCTTCCTCATGGCTGTGATGTACATCACTGGGGCCGGCCTTTATGCGGCTCGAATTCCTGAGCGCTTCTTTCCTGGAAAGTTTGACATTTGGGTAAGAAACAGCTCCTCCCTGTGATGGGCGGGGACCAGGCCAGTGTAACAGGTGTGAGTAAAGGGCAGTACAAGACTGGGGGTCATGTGTTGTTTGAGGTGCATATATGTATATGGGAGAAATAACCGACATTAACATTTTGGCGTGTTCCTGACAGGACTTTTAAATTTTTTTCTACAACAGATACATGACTTTCATGATACAAAATTTTAAGGCAAAACTAGAAGAGGTAAATGCTTTCTCCTCTTTGCTATTATCCTGAGGTTCTTCTCGTTGTTCCTACAGTTCCAGTCTCATCAGATTTTCCACGTCCTGGTGGTGGCGGCAGCCTTTGTCCACTTTTACGGTGTCTCCAACCTTCAAGAATTCCGCCACGGCCTGGAAGGCGGCTGTACCGATGACTCACTCCTCTGAGCCATCTCACCTGAGGGCGGGAGGGACTTCCCAAGTGCTTTTAAACATACCCTTTTTGCTGAAGTGACAGGAAGAGTCTCAGTTGTCTGTTTCTGGAAGAAACCTCTTAGTTCAGTCCGAGCAAGCTTCAGCCCACTTCCCACCCCGGGGCAGTAGACTCCATTCCCTGGCTGAGGAAGGTGGGGTGGCCAAACGTCACCATGCCCCCTCTTCCCAGTCCCCTCAGCAAGGCGACTGTCCCTGCAGAGTACTTTGAAGCTCATGTTGAGATTTTACCCCTCCTCCAACCATTTTGGGGAAAAGTGATGGACTGGGACTCTTCGGAAATTCTGTTTCTGGAAGAAAAAGTCCCTCCCTTACCCCGTCCTTACTTTGTAACCTGGCTTATAACAGGCCACCGTTTTTGTAGCACACTTTTCAAGAATAATTGTAACTGGTCCCGTCTTTGCAGGGCCTGGATCTGCTTACACAGCAGGAAGAATAGAGTCACCGACTTTGATGCAGCCCGGCAAATCATGCAAATGTGTCCAGGCTTCAGATAACTTGAGTTTCAATGTTTTTTTCTTGGCAGAGTAATGTAAAATTTAAAAAGGGGAAAGATATTTAATATTTAATACTAAGCTTTAAAAAGAAATCTGCTATCATTGCTATGTATCTTGATGCAAAGACTATGGTGATAATAAAAGAAAGTACAGAAGACAGTGTCCAAAGACTTAACATGCATGGTCTCAGCTATCTGCACATAGTCCGAGGATTAGAAGCAGCAAAGTCGTCTCAGGTCCTGCTGAGGCACAAATCTGGGTCCTAGGCATTGCTCAGCTGGCGTGTGCAGGCCATGGAGAGGCCCTGGCGAGTTCCCAGCATCTGCTCCTTGGTAACAGCCTTGTTTTTCTCTACTCACCACACAGAATTTGAGAGAAATTCACACACTGTAGCACTGCGTAGTAGGGAGAAGATCCTCAGAGGTGTCGGGCTCTGTCCCTTTTGAGTATCTAAGGTCTGCTGCATCTGAGAGCTTAGTTTCTTTCAGACTGCCTGCCTGCCTTGCTTACGATTGTGTCGTCAGGAGGTTATTCCGTGCCTCTCTGTGCCTTTGCAAATCGTAGTGTCACCTCCCAGCTTACAGGGACAGTTAGACGGGAATCTTCTTGAGTTACAAAGATGCGTTCATGTCAAGGTTAGGTTTGTACAACTGGGTAAGTGATCTTTTTAAAGAACAATCCAATTAGGCTGACAAAAAGGAAAAGTTTCTTAACCTCAAGTGTTAATCAGGGGAATGCAAACCAAAACCAAAGTTTGAAACCCCCTCACTCCTACCGACTGGCACAGATTAGATCGAAGCCCTGACACTGAGTGGGTGCGGGCGTGGGATGCCGTTGGGAGCAGGACCAGCTTGTGTGGATATGGGTGTGTGCACGTGTTGCACCCCCAAACAGTTCATGAGACACCATGAGATGGACCTGAAGTCCAGTCCAGGTTACTTCATTAAAACACTCGTTCTGACCAGTAAGCTGTTTTATTAACAGCTCAAGGCCCGCACTTGGAAAAACACTACCCCTGAGCAACTTGGCTTGTATCAAGAGGCTCACTGTAGCTGTGGAGGCGCAGCACACAGCAAAGGAGGCAATGTCCGCAACTCGAACAGAAAAAGAAACCTTGGTTTAGCTACACAATGAAACAACATGGTTGGATCTCAAAGATTAGGGGGAGGGGAGCAACTTAAGGAAGAATATATTGGTCAGGTTCAGAAATCGGCAAACAGTGATAGTTTAAGGTTATGAATAACCTTATGAAAAGTTTAAAAGGAAATGTTGGGCCACCCAAGTGGCTCCGTTGGTTAAGAGCTCGTTCAAGAGTACCAGCTCAGCAACAGCGGTTGGATTTCCAGGCGGAGCTGAGCTGCTGCTGAGCTGCCAACAGGTGGCAGGATGGCTCAGCTAAAAAAAGAGGAAATGTTAATTTAGGCACACGGTAAGAACGGGAGGAGAGGAGGGATATGCTCTTTTAGAACTTACTTCATTCCTTATAACTAGCTGGTCAGCACATGGTGTTCCTTGAACCATGCTTGTTTTTTCTTGTACATGTGTAGTAAGAGTTTAACAAAAAGAGGAGCTGATGGCAGGTCACACTGGTGACCTGAAGGCTGCAATGTTCACACACACACTGGCCTGCACACTGGGGACGACCGACTGCAGCTCAGGGGCAGCTGTGTCCTTTGTAGAGGAGTGTGCTCTCTGGTTCACCATCCCTGCCTAGTCCCTGGAGGCATCTGAGTTTGCAACCTCTCCTGTCCCGTCGGATCCAATGCCATCTTCCACAGGAAATACGGAGACCAGAGCGACTGTGAAATCGGGTGTTTTTCTCATTTTCAGTAGGAGACAAGACCGGGGAAAGAGGGTCTGAGACAAAGCGTTTCTTGAGCATGTACTTTGTACTTTGCATGTCATTTTATATCTTTTTAACTGAAATAGGTGGTGTTATCCCATTCCATATGTGAAAAAATTAAGGTCCCAAAAGACCAAGGCGCTTTTCCAAGATGACAGGCTCGGAGCCAGTATCTGAATCCAGACCACCCTGACTTAAACCCCATGCTCTAAAGCCTCCGAAAAGTTCAAAAGGCACAAAGCGAAACAGAGGGAAGGGCCAGCCAAGTGGCTCAGTTGGTTAAGAGCTTGCTCAAGAGTGCGAGCTCTGAGCAACAGCGGTTCCAGTCCAGCCCGAGCTGAGCTGCCAACAGGTGGCAGGATGGCTCAGCTAAAAAAAAAAAAAAAAAAACGGAAAAACCTCCCTCCGGCCTTGTTTCCCAATCAATCAGTTCCTCTTTACAAAGAAACGAATGTTACCACTTCATTTTTTATCTTTCCAAATGCATTTTATACATATACAATCAAATAGGAATATATCTTCCCAACCTTTTTATGCAAATAATAGCAAACTAGACGCACTGTTCACAACTTCAGGGTATTGTAGGGACGTGCTATACTTTATTGAACCAGTCCCCTACTGATGGACATTAAGGTGGTTTTCCAACCTACAATGACCTTGCACACACTTTACGTGTGCAACAGTGTGTATGAAGGAAGTTTTAAAAATCGCGATTAAGGGGCCGACCGAGTGGCGCGATGGTTAAGAACTCGCTTGGGATGCCAGAGGGCCCAGGTTCGGATCCCACATATGAGGGCCAGTGACACTGCCCTCTACAGCTAAGATGCTGAACAACAGCTCAACCTGGAGCTGGGCTGCCATGAGTCGCCGGCGACGGCGTGGGCTGCAGTCCCTGTGGCAGTGGATTGCCATGGGCTACCGTGTGTGGCCAGCAGCCAGCGTGAGCGGCCAGCAGCCAGCGTGAGCGGGCAGCAGCCGCAGTGAGCGGCCGTCCAGAAGCCGGCGACTGATCTGCCTCGCCAGAGAAGAGCGCAATGATGGTGCCAACTTGGGCCAGTGAAGCAACATCCTCCACAACTAGATTGAAGAACAAAACGACAGCAACTTGTCTGTTCCCCTTTCCCCAATTCCCCAGCACTGTTCCCATCCCCCTAATTCCCCAATAAAAAAAATCTTAAAAAAAAATAAATCGCGATTAAGGATATCTGCATTCATAATTTTGGCGAACTTTTCCAAATGCCCCCAACAGAACTTGTACCACTCCTGCAGTCAGACGCCCAGTGTGTGAATCAGGGATAATCTGAGATCGGAGGGAGATGCAAACGATGGAAACACTGTAAAATTAGATGGCTGCCCACTTGCCTATGGCTTTATCCCTAAGGAATCAAAAGGCCCGCGAGGGAAACAGTATAATCAAACACAGTGTTTGGACAGTGACAGAAACTGGGTCAAGAAGCCTGATCCCCTTCGGAGCCAGTCGGACGCGTGCACCCGAATCAGTCAGAAGCAAAATTCCTAACGGGAACGCTCCACGCCCAGGAGCTGGAGACGTCGGCAGACGGAAGGGGAGATGAGGACTCCTGGGACTTCTAGGGGTTCCTTCGCAAGGTCCCTCAGGGACAACTTCCGGTGACCATCCGTTCCTTCCACGAACTGTCTCGGGGTGCAAGCAGCAGAGGAGAAGCGCGTGCGGGGCGGTGGCGGGCCCCACTATGATGCAGAGAATGCGGAGGTCGGGGTCTCAGGGCGGCCCGAAAGGCCACCGTGCGCCATGGCCTGGAAGAAACCTGGAGCCTGCGTGGCTTCACTCGCCGTGGGAGCGCCCCTGAAGCCCCGGCAGGTGAAACGCACCCCCGGCCATCAGATCCACGGCTCCCGGACCCCCGGCGTCCTCCCGGCCGGCGGGGCCTCGGGGACACACGCCCCGAGGGACGCCGCCGCCGCACACCTGCGGTCACGTGCCGCCGCCGCCCCACGTGACGCGGCTCAGGGCGGGGATGCGACGTCATCACGTCGCGCGGCCGCGGGGACGGCGCCCGACGAGCGCGGCGACGGCTCGCGAGCCTGCGGCTAGGGGCGGCGGCGGCGGCGCCTGAGCTCCCGGGCTCCTTAGCCGCCTGCTGGCCGCGCCCACTCACCCCATCCCCACGGGCGGGGCGCAGGTGAGCCGACGGCGGGCGTGGGTGGCGGTCCCGGCCCGTCCCCGCGGAGGGGACGCAGAGGAGGTTCTGGGCGCGCGGCTCTCAGCCCCGCCCTCCGGGACCCCCGCCGCGGTGCCGCCGCGTCCCGGGTGCCGTCGGGGGAGACCGTCTCCTCCCACCCGGCGTTCCCGGTGCCGGAATCTGACGCGCTCCCCGAGTCCTTCATGGTGGAACCCCCATTCAGATGTGCACGGAAGTTCTGGGACAGATGGCCTCGGGGGCGGGCGGCTGGAGGACGGGCCGAGACTCAGCCTGGCGAGCCAGGCATCCCCGCGCGGCCTTCGGGCTGCTGCGGTGTGACAGATGTGGGCCGAGCCCAGTGGGGACCCCCCGCCCCCAGAAAGCCTTCACAGTACATGGGCGTTTGTCCAGACCTTCCCTCCGTCCGCAGAGTCGCAACTCAGTTGATTTAAGGAAAATCTTTTTGAAAACGTCATATGCTCTGATGACTCACCTCCTTTTCTGTACAGTGGGTGCCGCAGGGTTGCTGGAGGGATTATCTCCAGGGCTTGCAGAACAACATGTTAATTGTAAACAGTGTACATGAGAATTGCGAGGTCGTTTTTTCCTATTCAAAAATTATGGCTGTGAGTTTTGGACTCTTGAAGACCCTGGCTTGAGTTGTTTTCTTGGATTATTTCAGAAAGTTTCGGTTTTGAAGTAAGATAGACTCTCTTAACCACCCCATTTCATTCCCCAGAAGTTGTCATTGAAGAAGAAAAGGAAAGAAATAATATGACAAAGCCTGTCAACCATCAAGAAAGTACTTCTTTCAGTTTTGATGTGTAATCTATTACTGCGCTCATTCAAGGGATGTGTGCTGGTGAATTTTGCAGGCGACTGGCTACGGCAGTAAAATTAGTGGTGTTTGGCTAAGTTTCTATCCCAATAAGGCTGTTTGTTTCAGTATAGAGAATTACTGCAAGTATTGATTTGTTGCTGTTGATGGACATTTTCCAATAATGTAGTGTAGGAAGACCCTTCTGGAGAAGAGCTTCAGTAGCTAACCAAGTGGAAGTCCACAGACACACTTGGTGGTTTCCATTATACAGTGTAGGTATTGGGTCCTCATTTTAAGAATCCAGATATATTTGGATGTCATCATAAGTGATTCTTTG